TGGTCATTTTTGTAAGTGATTTCCTGACCACTTGGCAAATTTTCTTTCAAGACCTAAGCTTTTCCTTTACATATTCCCATTTGCTCTATTATTTTACTCTTTACTTTTAACATGATGTGTCTGCTATCAAAATCGTACCCCCTACCTTCAGCGCTGCGTGCTTCGTGAAAATATTACCTTTGGGAAAAACTCCCTTATGCGGCCCATATAGCCTAAATGTTTTGATACACACCCTATTAGTCGATATCTGGAGAGTATTGTAATGTTATTTTTTCTATAGCAGGCACGAAAATTAGGTATCCTGATTGGAGAGGAAGGGAAAGTATACATATATATATATATATATATATATATATAAATAATTTAATGTTTTTCTTTCTATCAATTGATAAAACTAATTCAGGGCCACTACGGTCATCACTGCTTTACAAGGGAGCCATATGGTATACATTGATACAAAAAAATGATTGCACAACAACATAAAATGAAACTACGTGGATAGACAACACTATAAGTGGATTTTTTATTTAAAATTCACTGATATATCACCATGCTCTGAAATGGTCAATGCCATGACTACCATCTCATTTTTTTAATTAAACAAACAAAATGATCGAATATAATCCCATGCCCAATAGACTGCTCTTATTTATAAAAGGGAATCTACAATAATATTAACAAGCTCAAATTTTTAAAAACTAAATTCCCCCATATTGCACTACAGATATATTTGTCTAAATTAGTTTAGATACCATGCAATTTATTGTATTTATTGTGTTAATTCGAATGTATTATTACATTCATGGCCTGATATTATTGTAGGCCTAAGTATCTTTTTTAAACATCTATTGAAAGAACAATTCATTCTTTGTTTAATGCTTTTTAATTATGGAATGAATGTGAATGTTAAATATGCAATACAACTAAACTGAAGTTTGCTCATATTCGTTATTCATCGATAATTGTAAATCCTTCTTTGATATGTATGATTCAATTTAGAATTCTATATGTTCTATATTATATATCTTACGTGTATAAGTTTCTTAATTCATATGTATGGCTTTGTACTTCTCCACTGAAGACAATAATTTTGTTGTCCTTTTGAGTTACTTCGTCATATTAAAAAACAAGAGCAAAGCAATCATGCATAGTTCTGATATGTTAAAAGTATTGCAATCCAAGCCAATGTAATTTAAATATTTACAAAATTTTGTTTCATAACAACGTACTATATATTGTCTCGATAAAATGCAGACAAAACTTGAATAGTTGCAAAAAGAACAACTGATGCTCAACGAATGTAGCACTGATTAGATTAAGTATGTTTTTGCCTGGAATGATAGTGAAAGTTTACAACTATCAACAATAAAAGACATGGCTTGGGTAAAAATGAAATACGTTCTAGAAAACATTTTGTGTGAATAAATAAATGAAGCGAGAGAGAGAGAGAGAGAGAGAGAGAGAGAGAAAGAGAGAGAGAGGGGGGGGGGGGAGGTTGAGAATGAGGAAAAGTCAATGTAAAATTTACACTCGAATTTCAAGACGAGATGAAAAGATGATCTGTGAGGTAGTGACGTCCTTTGCACTTTCCATCAATCGCTCGACATATCAACTCAAAATATAAGACAACATATTGAAGCAGCCTAGCTGTTTTTGCTACAGGGAATAAAAACGAAGTTCGGATGAAAAGAATTACTGAAACAACTTGATAATGAAGGTGTTGAAAAGAGCCTGTTGCATGCCAGTATTATTCCAAGTACCGCGAGCATGTTGAACTGGGTATTGACTGCGCCTACCCATCGGCGAGATAATTTTCCCGCGTAAAAAAAAATGAGACAAAAACAGTTTAGACAGTTGTCGTCTGGCCCTAGCTTTGTCTCGACAATGCGATTCGTGATATGTTAATGGTTAATGAGTCATTTCAGAGCTAATGGTATAATTTTTTTTAAATCAATAACCTGATTGTATCGCTGTCTCTCAATGTTTCGTACGACTTTTGGCCTCTTTATGTTTATGTCAACATTTGGTCTGACATGTTCGTATCCTATGCCGTATTTAAAATCACAGATGTTTACTTCAAGAATTATCAGTCTCTATATACTTTTGAAATATTAATCATTAAGTATTCAGGAACATCTCTGGAAACATTTTGTCTTCCTACCCCAGTTAAATCGCAAACTTGACCCAACTTTCCCTCGACCTCTCTCACTCACCAAGCCCCTGTTTCGGATATTTTGTAACAGTCTGCATCATAAGCCCAGACTAAAGTCTTAGCACCCCTTAAATCAACTTTTCTCTCTGGCATCGGAAGTTCTTTCTGCCAATCATTCCCTCCCTTGCACGAAGGTTTCCTTCTTCTTTTCTAGTTACCAGGAAGATATAACAACCACAAAAAGGAAACGAATAGAAGTGTGTGTATAGTAGAGGGAATAAAGTGCATTCGAACTTGGCTTTTTCTCAGTCGCCGAGCAAAAAATAGTGCAAGAGAAAGAAAGGACAGACAGAGAGGGGGGAAAAAGGAGAGGGGGAAAATAGTTGGTGCTTAGCCAGAGGGTTTCCTGCTACACGAGTTTGGTTCATATTTTTTGCTCGCTAGAGCGGTGTATGGGTCAGTTTTGATCCTCTTTCGAACCCTTATACAACTTATATCCGTATTCTTACCATAACACGGGTTTCTTGCGATTTACGCTCAAGGCAGGCGAGGTGTTTTCTTAGCGTCGAGTAGACCGCTTGTTTTTAACCTGCCATTTCTTGACAACATATACCTGTGGAAAAAAATAATTGAGCATGAGGGCTGGAGAGAGAGAGAGAGAGGAAGAGAGAGAGAGAGAGAGAGAGAGAGAGAGAGAGAGAGAGAGGGGGGGGGAAGACAGAAAGTGAGACACAGGGAGGGGGAGAGAGACAGAGAGACAGAGAGAGAGAGAAAGAAAGAAAGAAAGGGAGACACATGGAGGGGGAGTGAGAGAGAGACACAGAGAGAGAGAGAGAGAAGGGAAGAGAGAGAGAGAAAGAAAGAAAGGGAGACACATGGAGAGAGAGTGAAAGAAAGAAAGGGAGAGGGGGGCATAGATACAGAGACGTGAGTCGGAGATATTTTTCGACAAAGCTACAATAATACTTTGATTTTGTAAGCTTGTGATTAAGAAAACATAACTGTTGTGTTGTCTCTTTGAATCTAATGAGCTCCTACGTTAAGATTTCTCAGAAATATTTTGTCCGGCAGGAGAACTTATACATTTTCTACTCATTGCTAATTACGAATATGACGATAATCTATCGCTGTATGCATAATATTGATGGAGTCAACTTTGGAAATTCGTCACTTTGTTCTGTTTTAACTCCTCCTATGATGAGAGCTTATGGCAAAATCAATTTACATGGTACATTTATACATTTTCTAATGTGTCACATAGGAACTAGACTGAAAGCGTCACGTTACAATGAACTTCGAATTGTGCTATTCTAATGCACTGTAGAGTTAATGAATTGTCACTGTTAATTTGAATTGGCACATTTTATTTAGGGGCACTTTCCCATATAGTATACCCTCTCTTTTTGGGGGGCGCGTTTTGATATTTGTGGAACTCTACTTCTAATCTGTTTTGTTATGATATGTTTGGAATATTAAAATCTGTAGCCTGAGTAATTAAATGAAAAAAGGATGAGCGGCTTAAAAAATTGTACTTACAGAAATTACTTTAAATAAACAGCGTCACCTACACTTAATCTTTCATTGGACCATTGTTTTAAAAAAACGAGAAAAAAGAGAAACAAAAGCCTACAGTATGGAATAGCATCATTTGCTTTTTTTCCATTACTGGTTGATCAGATCTCTCGACTCAATTTTACCCAACTCGCAAGGTATACATAGATAATTTACGTTTTGTACCGTTGATAGACCGTCGCCATGGATACAAGTGTGAATGAGGACGGGGGGGGGGGGGTATTTTTAAATCTTAACTTTTAATTATGGCGTGAGGAAATGAGTGTAGGTGTAGGTTTTAATTTTAAACATTACAATGAATATCGTGTGGCGAAAATGCTCAATCATGACGATTTACCAAACAAATTTAACCATTAATAGCAAACGCTATAAAACAAATATTATCAGAGGAATATATGAATATATATAAAGTTTGTTGCCTTCACTAACTATATAAAGTCCTTATCCCCAATATTTGGTTAAATGGATAGATTAACATACCATGATGGCTTCCTTATATTAGTTCACTCTTCCCTATCATGCATTTAGTGTTATCCTTACAATAACACTTTTAATAACTCGACATTTTAGTCGTTCAATAGTAAAACTAAACTCATAAAAACGCTTTATAATACCTTAAATAATACTTTGAATAGTATATTGAGTAAAATATTGGCAATACTCTATGTGCAAATGTACGCTTACAGCATGTATGGTTTGCTTACCATAAACTTAGGTTTATGAGAAAATGTTGATTTTAATTATCTTTAATTTGACGTCCACGTACTGCACTTGCTTGCTTTATGTAGTACACAGTTCCACTATACGTTATTTTATGCACGTATAGTGCCGTTTATACTTAACATTATTTTCAACCATAAAACGATCGCAAAGATTTTCGGAAAAGACAATTTCAATATCTTTGCCCACATCTTTATTCAAATGCGATAATCAGTTAGATTATAAAAATCGTTCTTGAATTGATTTGCGAGCATCACCTCATCTATCTTACGATGAAGTACATGATTAGTTCTGATAAAGTAAACTTGAAAATATTCATGTTGACATCATGTAAAGTAGTAATAAAATAGAAATGTTATATTTATCACTGTCATCATAAGTGCCATTGTAACGTTACTGTTATAATTGATATCGATATTAATATTATCATTGTTATTATTATCATTATATTTGTTGTTCATGTTCATGTTATTATTATTTGAAGTAGTAGAAGTATTAGTAGTTGTAATAATTTGGAAGTACAGGCGACTTAAGGTCAAAGAATCAAATGATTTGCGTGTCAACTGTAATCTTTCTTTGGAATTGATAAGATGGAAATGCTATTTAGCATGTTAAATCAATCTTGTTGTCACACGCGCATGAAAATACTTACAAGATACCAAAAACAAGGGAGAAGAAGTGATGACGTCACAAGTATTCATCGCGGACCAGTCGGCGACACAGCGTGTGGTCTGACCAATCAACGGCCGCGTTATATGCCTCTGGTATCGACAGTGGCATATGCATGCATTGTTGCGCATGGGGCACACACGTTTTGGAGAATAGTCTGGGGTTGAGTGTATATTTTGTGTGTGTGTGTGTACAGAGAAGAGCATAGGTTGAGGAGACGCAGGTTTTATACATGTGTGTCAAGTTTGTGTGGTACCTCCTTCGAGTGGAATATCTTTTGATATGTTGATGTGTCAACCGGAGTGCGGACAGATCTTTAAAAAGTGACCACTTCACAAGACGGATGCCTCAGATTTATTTTGTAAACAATTCGTTTACCATCTCTGATTTGGGACTTTTGCTGCTGGTATTTCTCGCCTCTAAATTCGACTTTTGGAACATACTTTGCTCTGAAACATTTTAAACAAGATTCTCTTTGACAGAAAGGGTCATTGGGAAAAGTTTATTCCATATTTATCTGATAGATATTTTTGCTGAATGAATTGAGATATCTATGCGTAATTTGTGACTCTTCAGCTAAATTTTGCGAGGCTTTTAATCGTCTTTCTTTTCTCTGGAGTTGACATCGTGCCATGAATCTAGGTGGTCCAGGTGACCCACCAGCACATACACATCCGCCGCACACCTCTACATCACCCAACGACATGCCTGTGGTTCCTCCCCAGCTCCAGCCCGGTCACCACATCCACCGTCCCGCTCACCACCACCTCCACCAATCGGGCATGCCGCCACCGCCAGGCGGACCGACCGGTATGCTGCTCCGAGCGGAGAAGCCTTACCCCCGCACGCCTAAGTGCGCCCGGTGCCGCAACCACGGGGTGGTGTCAGCGCTCAAAGGCCACAAGAGATACTGTCGATGGCGGGACTGCATCTGCGCTAAATGTACCCTGATCGCAGAGAGGCAGAGGGTGATGGCTGCTCAAGTGGCTCTCAGGAGACAACAAGCGCAAGAAGAGAATGAAGCGAAGGAACTTGGACTTTATTACGAGACTTCAGATGGTGCTATCTACGCGATGAATGGGATTGCTGTCCAGACACACAAGGGTTATGATCCTTACCGGAATCAACAATCTGAACAGGGGCAAGGGCAAGGACAAGGACAAGCTCAACAAGGTATGTTCAACATTTTCACTTATTATTACTTATTATTACTGTTTGGAGCCGCAAGAGTTAACATACTTCCGGCTCTGACCAGACGAATTGCTTCAGCATTTGCAAATATCTGCACATCATTAGTACGAATGATATTTCCATATTAATAAGAGTACGTTTGTTACTTAAAGATTTAATAATAATCACCCAATAAAACCAATTCTGAATTTCAATCGCGTACTCGAATAGAAAGCGTTACCAAGCACAAAAAAGGGCATCTATAACATCAAAATTTTTAACACTATTTTAAGAAAGGGATGCCGATAAACCTGCTTAAGTACCGACTTGAAGAACCAGTTGTGAATGTTATTTTTTTTACCACGTTGCATGTCTGTTTTTCCATAAAAGATAACAAACGAGGTTACTTAAAAGAAACAAGCTAAGAAACAAGTCGAGCGAACTGTTTTATGAGTCGACGAAAAGAAAACAAACTAAGGTGGAGTTTCGTTTCAGAACATTGACTAAGAATTACCATCTACCTGCCTTGCGTTCATAGCAATTTATACTTTAATGATCATAGGTTGTTTATTTTCTTCAATTAAGAAAACTAAATTTCTATCAGAAGAAAAGTATTGAAGTAATCGCCCCGTAATTTTAGGGCTAAATATATCACACATGCAAAATTGTTATTAAGACATGACCATTATTGTTCCATTATTTAGGGCAGTTCCAAATGGAGGTCTTTTTAAAAAAATTAGTTTGTGAATAGACCTAAAGGTTTGTTACATAAATACTTCTTTATAACTTTCATAAATACTTAACAGTATGACCATGATGGCTGATTGACTGATTCTTTTTATAAAGTAAGGATTTTTTAGCAACTGAGTGTAGTCTTTTTTTACTCTTTCAAGTGATTATGTTCTTTGTTTTTGGATTTCTTATATGCAGTATAAATCAACAATCGCCATGATTAATGAATCTTTGTTTAGTAGATTATTATAGACTTGTCATCTCTCATTTCTGTTCAGCCCTGCTGATTACCCAACCAGAATTCTGTCATGAATAAAAAAAAGTTAAAACTGTTCAATGGTTAAAATATCACAAGATTCACAACATTGAAACTGTCAAACTCAGTTAAGCTGTTCTAGGTAAAGTGTCTTGTAGAAATGGTGATGTGGTTTAGGTCTGCGACGGTAATTCATCCTATTGTTAAGGGGTGTAGAGTTGACACATCGCTTTACCGCAAAATCAAGTCCCGTTTTATGCGAATAGTCGATTTAAACGCACTAACACTTCAAATATATCAAATCAGTCAGGAGCGAATTTGTTTGCCATAAAAAAAAATCTTTATTTTTTGTTCTGTTTTCTTTGCTATTTGTTTCCTTCATTAGGACAGGCTTTTCTCATATAAAGTTGATTGGATGTTGTCATTGATAATTTATGGACAACTCTAAGACCCAATTCAATTATTTGGATATTATTATCATTTTATCGCTTAGTGATATTAGGGGGAGTCCCAAAATCATTTATGACAATTTTTAAACAAAGAATTCGCGATATATGTTGTGTTTTTTTATGCCCACTTATATTCAAACTAAATATTTGATCAACTTACATTGTCATTAATATATCTACAATATATATCTGCGTCCATTTCCGACTGATAAAATTTTTGAGCAAGCATATTGTAAAATGTTCCCGACGTATAGATGATAATAATGCTAATACATATTTACAATGTATATTTGCAACAATTTACTCTGCTCTGATGAAGTATGTTATGCTTCTCAATATTATATCCCGTCGTAGATATTATGACAACGGAAAAAAGTTAAATATTTCTTGACAACTCCAGTATGATCACAAAATGTAAACGCCCTTTTACTCATTGGATGCCATTACATTCGAATTTTTAGGGTCCGTGATTTAGCAGAAAATGTGAGGCTACACTAATTGTACTGAGTGACTTTTGTCTCCACGTTCATGGAAAAGATATCAGATAATTGTAACCTAGAATTTAAGTAAAGAGTTCGTGAATTATTTCCCTTATTGTTGATCATTAAATGGGTAGTCGGTTAGCATTAACCTGAAAATTAGGAGACTTTGCACGCGTAACGGTCAATAATGACTGCGTCTTTTCTATGCCTCTTTAGGCAAATATCGACAGATTGTCCTATTTTTCGCCTTCTTAACTCCGGACAGCCTGGCCATTGACCGGAAATGTAGCCGATAGTATGGTCACAGATGACCGTACTGACCGATGCATTCTTGACGATACGATGGCTGACCAATGCTATTAGGTTGTAATTCGGATTACCTTAGTTTTTGTTCTGTATTTTTGTTGTTGTTAGTTTCGGAGTATCCAATGATTCGGAATTCGGACTATAACTTCCAATTGCAAAAATTTGTTTAACCTTAATCTGTTGAAATAACAAGAACCACTGCTTTGATTTAATGATGCATCAAAACAATATGGAAGGAGGAAGCTAAAGTAAAAGTTCGTTTTTTGTTTGTACTGTAGATTACTCGATGATAAACATACTTGAATATGAGCTCACCATGGCATCCTGTTGATACCTCGAATTATTAGAACGATGAGCCTATTTTCTTACATAAAATCTTAAAGACATTTGACTCAAATATAAATATGAATTTCAGCCTTTTTAGACCTTTTTCAACACTTTAAGCATTTGTTTTTGATCGTAGACGGCGTTGTTTGGTATAATATTGAAGCAAACATAAATACGATGTACTAATTGAATATAACATTAGGTAGTTGAATTTTATTTAAAAAAAACCGCTAAACTTCTGTGATTTTCGTTTGTATGAAGAAAATACATTTGTTTTCTTGTTGTTGCTGTAGCTGTTTTATACCAATGGGGTCGCAACTATATTACTTATATTCTTTGTTACAAAATTTCATGACGTTTAGAGGCCACCTAAAGTTTAAATAGCTTTTTAAACTTCATATATTCCCTCTTCAAATTGTGTTGCATTATTAACTTTCTAATTTTTCAATTTGTATTCATCTCGTTTTATCAACAAAACGTAAACAAATTGTCAAATGCATAGCCGCCAAATATATCGTATTTCATTTTTAGGAAAATAAGAATATAGCCATATTATTAGGCGGTTCTTTTTCAAAGAAAATTTGAAATCATTGAAATCCTCATAAAATGATCAACACTAGAATTCATCAATTTCATGTCTGTTTCATTTAATTTTACGAATTTATTTATCAAAATTTCCTTTTTTATGTCACAATTACGGACAAATTTGTATATAACATCACAGGGACAGTGTCAATCATTATGGAAATTCAATCACAAAAAATATTTAAAAAAAGAAGTAGTCATCGTATTTTAAAAATCAATAATAAGTTTTCAAAATCCTCATGAACCCAAATAGAAACAAATCAACATAGTATTGCAGTTGAAATTGATATATCAAATTCTTGTATCATGCAAATCTCAGAATTACCAGATTGTTCTATTGTCGATAGAAATATGGAGATGTGAACAAAGGCTCACATCATATTAATACCACAATTCCCCCCCCCCTCCCCACCCTCTACTCCAACTTTAACATCCTACTATTCGTGTTAAAAAGGATTAGATAGGATTGTCTTGTAGGATTATTGACAATTATTAACATCATAAGGTCTTTTTCAGTGAACCTAAATAAATTTCCTCGTCTCATTTCAGCGGCCCGTTCAATATAAAATACATATTCTGTGAGTGACATCATTTTCAATGGTAACAAATTTCAAAAGATCGAAATAAATAATGTGTGGAAAGTTTAATATGAATGAAACAATTGAATAGGTGATCATTCTTTCAAATTTTTTAATCAGTTTGATTTTAGCCATCAATATTTTCCTACGGCAATGGCTCGTATAGTGATGACTATAATGAATAGATAAACAGATCGATGGAAACAATTTTATTGTTAAGGCGGAAATAAGGGCCACCACAGGCTAGGCGGATAACACCGATTTGCTCTTTGGTAATGAAAAGAGTTTTTCTTCAAGATCAATACAAATAAATGGTGAGAGTAAGTTATTTATCTGCATCATTTCAATTTCAAATAACTTGTAAAATCGAAGTCGAGCAGCTGCGAGGACATATTAAAGGCCTATATGTGCACGGTTTATTTTCATTGTCATAATTATATACACTTTGGAAGTGTTAAAGTGTCGACAGGCTTCGACTATTTTTTTATTGTAGCTTTAGACAATACACAATGTTTAAACTTTTAATTTCTTCTAATAGACAGAATGATTTCGTTTTTTTTTCTGCCACATTTTTTCCCCTTTTGATAAAAAACAAACAATTTAATACTGCATCTATATCAAAAGTGCCAGTAAAATTAAAATATAGATAGATTTTTTCCATTCATAGATGAAAGTAGATAATAAATGTTCAAGAAATTATTTTAATTGAATTTGCCAATAAAGACATATTACAGAATTTGAGGTAGTAATAGTATAAAGGACATTTTCAAAATAAGGTAATAAATACTGTATCACAGGCATGTAAGAGGACAATATCACATGGTTAACGTTTTCATTACAAAGCGTTCTATTAGATGACAATGACTATACCCTTTCTTGATCATTAAGTATCCTATTTACCCAAAAGCACAAGAAAATAAAACAGAAGCCCTTTGCACAATTTCCCCTTAGTTACTGAGTAAGGAATACACATTAAGTTGTGATAAGCATATTTGTAAGATTAATTCCTGTAAATTAATACTCAAATGAGTTTCATCTCACATGGTCTCTCTTGAAACCAATATTCATCTACATGTGTTCGCTGTTGAGTATGTCATTCGAATATACATCCCCCCCCCTCTTTTTTAAAATAGAAAGATCGGAAATAAAGCTATAACAAAATATAGTACTGATGAATATTCCTAATGTAAAATGTCAAGAAAACTAATATTAAACCAGGGAGAATACATAATCTATTAGAAAGTATCTCACAAGATTTTATGAGAATATAATGATAGAAACTATAAGA